AATTTCCTAAAGACTATGTAATAAAAAAAATGATTTATTTTTATCAAAACAGATAATAAGTATACATTATATATATAACTTAAATAATTGTTGCCAAAGTTATTGATTAAATAATAGATTAGCCAGCTTTAATCATTGTAACGGATACTCGTGCTAACATAAAAGCATGTCCCAGGTAACTAATTAATTGTACTACTTAATAGAGGTACAAAAAAGTATATTCAATAACTTTAAATATCAATATACTGTCAAATTGTGAAACAAATGCAAAGTCTACTAAATGTAAGAATTTCCTAAAGACTATGTAATAAAAAAAATGATTTATTTTTATCAAAACAGATAATAAGTATACATTATATATATAACTTAAATAATTGTTGCCAAAGTTATTGATTAAATAATAGATTAGCCAGCATTGCTAACTTTATGCTCAACATATGTCAAATACAAATATAAATACAAATAATTATTAAACTCTTTTTAAGTTAGTTTGTAATTTAAGTAACCAATTATTTTTAAATTATTTAAAGTTAAATTTGCTTTCATTATAAATATTGTCTCACATTTTTAATAACACGTTCAACAACAGTTAAATTTGTGCTTGATTAAGTTGCGCTTAATTATTTGGTCATTAAATGTAATTATTTCTCAACGTTTCTCAATTACATTATGTGTTTTCCGTGTTAATCCCATTGTTTAATACTAAATGTCTGTATGTTTTATACGAAAGAGACCCTGAGCCCTGTTTACATATCACTGTTATAATGTTAAACAGTAATTAACAGTCTTATGTAAGCAGAGTCTAGTGGTCTCTTTCATATAATACATAACGCTGTATGTCATTAGGACTTATCATATCTGTGCTGACAATTGAATTCGTGAGCGGGAAGTGACCACAACTACCACTACTCATAAGCATTGATGGCTTTCATGCGTAAGGAGAAACCAAAAGGTAGGCATAGCTACTACTACCACAACATACCATATCATCACTAGTTTACAGTTTGTCGCATCCGTTTATGACTCAAACAGATATATTATAAATCTTTATATTATTTCATATATTAAGGCAATCAATTGATTGGAGATTTGATTGATTATTTGAGTCATTCGTGATATTAGCCTTTAATTAATTAAAGAATTTTATTCAATATAAGCAATTATTATGCTGTAGATTATGTTACAGTATGTTAAGTTAAGTTAATCATAAATTATGTTAAAAATAAATACGATGCTAGATTACATTAAAAATTAAATAATAGGCATATTTATAGAATTTGTATTTACAGTATTAATAACATATAACTAGTTACAAATAAATGATAAATAAAACAACATTTTTAATGGTTTATAGAAACTGACCGCAGAATCCGAGCGAATGATGCCATATATAACAAGACATTCAAATATGCCGTAAGTATTACTCGCAACCAGATTTTTATTTCACAAAATGGATATTGATAACTTGATACTTTAATATCAAAATTATCAGCATCAATTTG